TGATGGTAATGCTACAGATTTGGTAAATAATGAACCTTCTAATGAATAAAAATAATAACAGATAAGTATTCTTTGTAAGTAAATTTATAGTTTTTTAAATATATTTCTTAGTATTTTATATGTTTAAATAATCTTATTAGTTAATTTATTAGTAATAGAGTGTATAATTATATTTATTTCTAAGTATTTTATATGTTTAAATAATCTTATTTTAATTTATTTAATATTCAATTTTAAGATTTTTTTAAATCATATTTGATGGAATTAAGAGTTTGATTTTTTTAAATAATCTTATTTTAATTTATTTAATATTCAATTTTAAGATTTTTTTAAATCATATTTGATGGAATTAAGAGTTTGATTTTTTTAAATAATCTTATTTTAATTTATTTAATATTCAATTTTAAGATTTTTTTAAATCATATTTGATGGAATTAAGAGTTTGATTTTTTTATTTAAGAAATAATGAGAAGTTAATATTTGCTATTTTTTAAATTTAAAAACGTTTTATTTGGTCAAATGTATTTGTTTTTATAAATTATTAGATTCATTTTTGTTTCTATTTATTGTTTAAAAGTTTAAAACGTGTTTTTTTATTAAAATATAAATATATATATGATTTTGAAAAAAAAATTAAAGTGATGTAAGATTTAAAATTTGATTAATTTGGCTTTTTTGAATTTATATGGAATATAAATTATTTTATCAGAATAAATTTGTTGATCTGTTTTAATTTTATGTACAAATATTATTTAAAAATAATATGTAAAGTTTGAAAAGTATAAAAAATTTGTTTATTGCGTTCTTTTAATACCAATTGTTGAATAAATCCGTATTATTTTATTAAAGGTATGTAAGAAGTGTTTTTTTTAATATTATTGATTGTAAATTTATATTTATGATAAATTGCATTTTCTTTTAATTTTAATATTTTTTTAAGCATATGTATTTTATAAGAAATATTCTTTTTTTGGTATTTTATTTAATTTAATTATGGGTTAAAATAGTTTTACGATTTATATGCACTTTTTTTTGTTATATAAAACTTATATTTAATTAAATTAAAAATTGTTGATTTTTGATACATAAATGTGTATAAAATGTTCTTTGATAATTAATATTATATTATATTATTTAATCAGAAAGTGATTATATCTGCAAACTAATTGTAAAATATAAAAAATCAATTAAATTAAAGCATATTTATAAAAGACTTGGTTCTTTCTCACAAGAATTTATTTAAAAAATATATAATTTTTAATGATATCAAAATGCTAACTCTTAATACTTTAATTAATTTTTTTAGATTTAGAGATTAAGAATAGTTAATTTATAAAATATTAAGAAAAAATGGACAATATATAATTGTATAGATTAGAAATTTTTTACTAATAATATTATTCAAACATAATTTAGTCAATAGAAAAAATTAAAATTTTCGTTACTTTTTATTAAATATAACTTTAATTTAATAAAATTCTGAGTTATAACTTTTTCTTCATCCTCCTTTACCACTAGTGTCTCTTCTTCTAAATCCGATTCTTCACTTATATTTATGGCCGATTCCTCAAATATGGTTCCTCCTTTTAAAACTTTTCAATGTAAAAATACTTAATAAGATAAACTCCAACGTTCAGAATATTATTAAATATTTTAATACAATAACCGTCACTCTTGATAATTTATAAAGGAAAAAAACAATTTTTAAATAAAAATTTACCCACAGAAATATAAAGAAAAAAATGAACACAAAAATAATTCATAAAAAAAATTACGATTTTTCAAAAACAAAAGAGTATTTCAAAGATGTAGTAATTCTTCCAACCGAAACAGTGTATGGAATAGCAGCAGATATATATAACATAAATGCAATACAAAGAATTTATGAAGTAAAAAACAGACCACACGATAATCCGTTAATTGTTCATATTTCGTCATTAAAAATGCTTGATTCACTTATTGAAGGACCGATCAATATTTTTAATAGCAAATTGATTGAAAAATACTGGCCCGGTCCTCTTACACTTATATTTGAAGCAAAAAAAACTTTATCTCATATTTTAACTAACAATTTGAGTACTGTTGCTATTAGAATGCCGGATTGTGAGTTTACTTTAAATGTCATTGAACATCTTGGACATCCTATAGTTATGCCATCTGCTAATCTTAGTGGAAGACCAAGTACTACCTCTGCCAGTCATGTTTTTGATGACTTAAACGGTAAAGTACCACTTATTATTGATGGAGATGAGTGTCTTCTCGGTATAGAATCTACGGTTGTAAACTGTCTATCTCATGTTCCTACAATTCTTAGACCAGGTAGTATAACATATGAAGAAATATGTAATACATTACAACACAAAGTAGAAATATGTACTTCCTTGAAAAACAAACCACAACAAATTTTACCAAACATTTCAAATAATCATTCAATAACCACTAATGAGTCAGAAAATACCGAAAATAGATTGAATATTGAATTCGAAAATAAAGATTCTTCCGCTTATCTTTCTCCTGGTATGAAATATAAACATTATTCCCCCGAAAAACCGTTATATTTAATTAAACAAAATGGAAATTTGATAAATGAAATAATTATTTCTAAAGTAAAAGAAAATAAAAATATTATTGGTTGCATTGTGAATACAATGAATGTATTTACAAAGCAAACGTTAGAAACCTTTAAATTAATCGAGATTGATGATGAAGAATATCATAAAAAAATTTATAATGAAGAGATAAGAAATAATATATTACATGAAGAAAATATGGAAGAAATTAAGTGTAATAAGTCAGAAAGTCCTGTTATTTATGTTTTTTGCTATAAAAATGATAAAAAATTATTTGCAGAAAAACTTTTTAAATATTTAAGATTTTATGACAAAATGTGTGATTGTATTATCGCTATCGGTACTGAATATACAGAGGAAGGGTTGGCTGTTATGGATAGATTGGAAAAGGCATCGACAGAGATATTTTAATAAACTTTATCTGATAAAATTATGATAAAAACATAAAATTTTGAAAATATCTTAATTAAATATTTATTTTAATTTTTAATATAAAGATTTCTTTATTAATAATATACATGAGAAGTAATTGATAGAATGGAATTTTTCTCAATTCTAAATAGTCTGTAAGAATTATATTTTTAACTTAATTATGATGTATAAATCGTTAAAAAGGTTATTATAAAAGTAAAAAAGCACTCATAAATATAGGCTTTGACTTATTATAAAGAATACATTTTCATTTTTTTATAAAAAATAAATTTCTATAGCAAATGAATTCATGTTATTTTTATTCGTGGAATATACTTTTTTGAAGGCATCATTTTTTAAATGAACTTGGTTTGAAAGCATCTGAGTAGAAAAAAGGTGATTTCTGAAATCAAATGAAGAAAAAACTTACTGTCTTAAAAATTGTAGTGTATTTTCTAATATAAAATAAACTTCAAATTATTGGAGCTAAAAATGCCACTTTTAGTTTCCTAAAAGTTTGGAAAAAAATAAATTCTGCATAGCTATTTTATGAAAAAGAACATATATTATTGCTCGAATTAATTTGGCAAAGTATACAGTAAATTTTGCGATTTTAAAATATGATTATAGTTTGATAAAAACGTAAGGATAAATTATACTTATTGCAATCGAAATTTCTTAAACACACCGGATTAATTTTAAACTAAAAATCGAGTAGAAATCAATTGTGTAAATTTTAAATGATAAATATATTGACAAAAATCGATCGATTAAACCGAGAGTCTTCAAATTACGGCCCGCTAAGTTTTTTTATAGATAAAGTATTTTAATAGAAAATACAAGTACAAATAAATTGTACAATTAAAATTATAGTTTTGTTAGATTTGATATGAATTCTTGATAGAAAAAAATTGTGCAGTTTTCTACATTTTTTAAACACCAATCATATTTTATCCTAAAAATTTTGAACCAATGGAAAATATATGTAACATAATTTAGTACTAATGAGATTAATGTGGTCGAGATTTTTGACGAATTACTTGTCGAAACAGTATTTAAATTTGCAAGTAAAAACCATCAACAACAACTTTAAATGTTTATCTGTTAATCTAAATATGTAAATATTTTTTGTTTATTTCACTTTAAAAATGCATTTTCACACAAATAATTAAGGTCTAAGACGGAACGAAAATCTCGAGAAAATATATGAATGTGAATATGTGGCGCGAACTAAAAGACTCTAATAAAATTCTAGAAAATTTATTGAAAATTCTTCTTTTAAAACATTGGTAAGACACATTTTTAGTTTTGTTAAAAATTTGATGAAACTTTTAAAATTTCTCTCAAAAATATTATTCATAAAAATTTAAGAAATATTTTTTTTAGGGAATGGTATAAAATCTAATGAATTATTGACCCTCGAGAATTTTTATAGAAGTCATTGGGGCTCGACATGCTGAAAAAGTGGCAAATTTTTATTAGTCTATTTTCTTTTCATTTGTAACTTTTATATGTAAATTATACATCAAAACGACTTATACCCATATGTTCATTCGAGAAACGTGGTAAGCTGCTAGGCCGCAGAAACTTTATTCAGGAGATCAAAGAAACGACTCTCTAAATATGTTATAATAACTTGTCATACATATGATAAAGTGAAAACCAAACATGTTTTATGTGTTTTCCTTCTAGAATCAAGGTGTGAATATAGATATTGGGACTGTACACAGACAGGTCTGTTTTATTGGATTTTTGTTTTTATTCGAGGCAATAAAGTAAATAGAGTCATTTTTTCGGCAGAAACACATAAACGAATAATAAAATCTAATCATTAAAAAACTGATTTTTTTGGAAAAAAATATTTTAGCTCTTGACTTTCTATACATCAGAATGTTTACAAATTACGTTTTTGAACCTGATAGCTAGGTGAAAATTTTTCAAAGAAGTATAGAATATCGTATAATCTTAATAAAAAATCGTTTTTTCACTGTAAAATCATAAAGAAAATTGTCAAAAATTCGACGTTGCCGAGATTCGAACTCGGGCGCCCAGAGGACAATAGTTTAGCAGACTACCGCGTTAACCACTCCGCCACAACGTCTATACAATGTTAAGAAATAAAAATAACTATTTTTAATTAAATAAAATTGTCACTGAACTTTGCTTTTCATACATGTAAATAAAACCATGGTACCCTTAAAAAAGGTATTACTATTAAGTATTTTTGATCTAAAATATTTTTATTTAATAAAATTCTGGGTTAAAATATTTTTTACCATTTTTACATGTTTTCTTCTACCTCTTTGACCACTTTTGTCTCTTCTTCCAAATCCGACTCTTCATTTATGTTATTGGTCGGTTCCTCTAAAGTGGTTACTCCTTGTGAAATAAGGGGTGTATTATTTTTTGGTTTAAAATTTTTGGCACCATCTTCCTCTGTTTTCGCTTCTTTTAAAGGGGGTATTGGTTCCTCATGCATCTCTGATCTCATAATAACACCCATTGACGCTCTCTCCCAGCTCTCTTCGGCATTTAGTCCTGACTCAAGTCCTCTTCGTCGATCAAAGGAAATAGTTTCGACTGTCTTTTTAAGTACTATAGACTGAATGTATGCCTCTACATTCATGGGTATTTCTAGTCTTTTAAGATGAGATTTATGGTATTTTGTCACAATACCGTCCCAGGTCATCACATAAGGGATTATCTCAACACTACACCTATAAATAAAATCCAACTCATTGGCTAGCAGGTCATACTTCCTAAGTTTTTCAGTTTCAACTATTTGAAGTGAATCTTGGGAAGTGATTCCTACTTCAATGAGTGTTATCTTATTCTTCTTCTTATCTAAAATAAATATGTCCGGTCTGTTATTCCGAATTTTAACATCAGTTTTAATTCTGGTGTCCACTCTTATCTCTGCATACTCATTATCAAGAATTTCTTGAACTGAGTGGCTCCTTATTCGTTTTGAAGACTTAAACTTATATCTATTTAGAAGGAGAAGGTGTAGGCATCTAACCACTTCATTATGCCGTCTAGTGTAATCATGGCCTAGCATTTTTTCACATCTAGTTGCTAGATGATCCACAGTCTTACCAGACTTCCCGCAATGTTGACACACACCATCTGCTCCCCAGAATACATTTCTATCCTGGATATAGCAGAACACAGCTTCATTTCGTGGCTTAATATTTCCTCTCTTTAGCCATCTTGAAGAGTCACTAACACTCACAAGCTCATTTTTCCTTGCATTATATAACTTTGAATGGAGTTTTCGTTTTTCTATTTCGTTATATAGTTTTGCAAGTTGAGCTTCTTCTAAACTTTTCTTAGTGACTTCTTGATCTAAAATATATTATTATGTAATATAAATATATTTAAAACCTTATATTGTGGAGAGAGGATATCCCATAAAAAACTTTCTGCTTGGAAATGAGTGTGTGAAACTGGTGTTCTAAACCATTGTTTGGATTTTTGGTGCTATAAAACCACACTACATCTTCGGTTGTTCCATGAAAGTTGTTATGAGGATAAGAGGTCTACGAAATAACTAAACTTTTTCTACAAATTTATTTGTAGTTTTTTACGTAACCAGATTGCAGGCTGCAGCTAAACATATAGGTAATTGCCATGTAAAAGCATAGAAACCTAGCCTTGCTCACTCGGGTTAGAAGACTTAGCGCCTGGGAGATATAAAAATAAAACCCATTAAAAGCCGGGAGAGCTATGTAGCAGGTTATACCTGTTGGTATGACATTGCACTGTCTAGGTGGACTCCATGTAAGTCTCTGAAATTTATCTTAGCTAGAAATTTATTGGTTCAGAAAGTGTTTAGTATGCAGGAATGCTGCATAGTCTTAGGGTGTCTACAGGGGCTTTGGCTTTCTATCACACTCTATGCAACGGATATTATCGAACACCAGGCAACTACCTCGCCTAGTAATTAGGTTCTATACACCTGGTAGACGAAAGGTTTTGGGACGTAGGTATCCAAGATGTACAGATAAATAGTTTAGAGTAGCAGTTATTTATGTTAAACTTAGGACTACGTTAATGTCATGAAGACAAATATAACACTTGTTGCTGTTTTATAAAAGCTGTGATACTTTAAATTAAGGTTTAAATTTTTTCAGTGCCTAACGAGTCAAGAGTATGTAGAATCAGATTTTGCGCAAACACTTTATATGATCTTCAAGCAAAAAATTTCTAGTATAATAATTTTATGACCATCATCATTCGTAATTAGTTTGTTTTCCAAGTCTGCTTGTTGGTTTTTTATTAAATTTTTTAAAAGAAAGTTTTGTATTCGGTTAAATGTTTAGACAATTTAAAGAATCAATCTTTTTTAATTGAGATTATCGAGATAAGAATAAATATGGATACATCTAAATCTTTATAAAAATATATTTTATAGAGAAATATAAACGTTAAAGTTTTGCTTTACATAAAGGATTTTCATACTACAATATTTAAACGCGTAATAACAACTCGAAATTTTTCAAAAAAAATGTTATATTTAATTTTCTAAATTATTAAATTCATAGTAATATATATGTATAAATAATACAGGAATCTGTACATAAAGAATTTAGCATGTGCCATGCTAAATGGCTTTGTAAGCAGAATTATTATCTTAGCAAGTGGCTACAAGACTGTTAAGATCCCGACCTCATTTAGGTGTGCTTTCGCCTTTCTTCTTTGGAGACTCTCTTTTCTATTCATCTGTACCGAGTGTACAGTGAGCTTTTTTTACCTCATCTAGCATCTAGTTTTTGGATGAGCAGAAAGTCTTTAACTTTCGAATAATCTTATGACTAGTTTTTTGTAACTCTGCTTTCTGACATTTGATCAAGACAATTCAGTCATCCAGGTCCGGTTCTTTTAATTTAGTTTACCGACCTTAGATTTTTATATAACGCCTGAAACTCGAAATAATTACGAATCGCAACTTTTTTTGTTGAATTTTTGTAGATTTTTTAAATTTCATGATATTTCCTGATTATTTTTACAAACGTAACTTTTGATTACTAATTAAATTAATTATCGGTTGACGAATTAAAAGTCAAAAAAATATCTGATTTTATGTATTCATTATTCTTTCATTATAAAATATGCTTGTAAAAAAATATAACATAAATATGTAAATCAAAATTTCTGCAAATTTAACACACAAAGTCTACATATATAACAAAAAATCAGACCATATTTTGTTTCTTTACATTAAAAAAACTTAAAGCGTGGTTTCGAAAATTTTAGATAAAAATGAACCTTCCCCCAATTGCTTCTAGAAACCTATTTACAATATTTAAGACAATAAATTATGTATTCATTATTTGCTACCAATTTATTTCGATCATTTTGCTCAATAAAAGAAAGGCACAAACCCATTCATCACATAATTCGCATTAATTTCGTATGTGTTTATTGTCTTATCTCATTTTGTAATATTTAGAGTTTAATCGTTCAAATTTTGATCTTCTTATGTTTAAATCTTATTAGAATTATAGAACTCAAAAAAGTTAAGAAAACTTTAAGCTTTGTATACTTATATATAAAATCGAAAAGGAATGAATATTTTGTAATAAAAAAAAGACACTTGAAAAACTGGTTGAGAAATTAATAACAAAAAACTAGAAATCAATAAAAACAATTTGAATTGATATATTTTTCAAATGTATTTAATACTCATAAAAAAAGAAACCTACGAAATAAATGCTCAAAAATGTTTCCAGAAATTTTTCTCAGTTGGTTTTTGCAACTATTATTCGATCAAAACATACGCTTCTAAAAAAGCTTTTACACGTAAAAAGTTTTTTCGATTACATAATTTTCTACTTTATTTATTTAAATGCAATATAATGCCAATTTATTCTTCATTAACTTTTGATAAGTATATATTCAAAATAGAAATATATTTCGAAAACAATATTATGTCTTCGAGATGACTTACTCAAAAATCTAGTTTATAATATGTTTCTAAACTAAGTTACGCAGGATAATTAAGAGATAAATTATGATTCAATATATAATTTAATCGATAGTGCAAGAATCATCTAGATATCGCATGTTTAACTATTTATAACATAATTCAACGATTTTGGCATTGTATATTTAATTTTAAATAAATACAAGTTTAAGTTTAAAAAACATTCTGAAATAATGTCGCACATATGAATTGCATCAGAATAATAAACTTATAACTTTTATAAACATTTTTAGATCTGAAAATGATTTATTAAGCATCTAAAAAATCAAGTATCAACAAATTTTAAACAATAAAACTTTTATTTTCATTGACACTATAATAGTATAATGTGTTCTAATGACTTACTTTAAGGCTCTTATTAAAAAATAAACTAAAAAAAGTAATGTTTTTTCAGCCAAATATATCCATTTTAATATAATATAAGGAATTATACGAATTTCTTTTTTTCAGCCGCTTTTAAGCATTAAAATAATCGAAAAAACAAATACTTCTATTACGTTCACATGGTGATTTTTTTTTAAATTAAAAGCAGTTCATTTAATGCGATATGTTTCTTTCGGTTATTTCTAAACTATTACAAATATTTTGACGCATTTTTTATAGCTCAATGTGCTATGTCCATTCCTGAATCGGATTAGGCAATATTTTTTAAGAAAGATTACAAAAGTCAAACTAAATTCTTATGTTGTAAATAATCAAAGTATATTTTGATTTAAAGTTTTAAAATATATCGATATAAATGCGTGAAAACCAAACATGTATTTTATTCTTTTAAGTCGGCTTGTAAATGAGTATCATAAATGAGAATAGTAATACGCAAATTTCTACTCTACAATTATTTTATATAGTGTTTTAGAGAAAGTATTCATAAAGATTATTAATAAAGTTTTCTCGAAAATTACTTGAGAGCAACTTAATAAAAACATATTTGAGAATTTAATCATTAAAATAATTAAAGATATCTCGAAACAGAAAAGATTTTTTTGATCTTATATGTCGATTAAATATATTTTATAATTAATTCATTACTAATTTCGCCAAATTAAATTAAATAGATTAAATAATTTATTATAGATCGATTAGAATATGTTCATAAAAATATTTTTTTAAATAAT